TGTAAGTCAAGCGAAAACAGATAACCAACATTTTGGGAAAGTGCCTCCAGCCCATTTTCCTTCAGTCCTGGGTCATTGTTCAGGCTTGTGACCCAGACACACGTCTGGAGCTCCTCGCCACTGGGGAGATGCTGGGGTTTGTTCCAGCTGAGACATAAACCTCTGTGAGTCTGAGAGAGCTCTGTTAAGAGGCTGTGCTAAATTTGGGGCTGTACTGTCCAACTCCTCCAAGGAAACTATTCTAGAAATTTATTCAGTGAGAATAGTTTTCCAGTGAGAGGGTGGGATTATATTCCTTTAATATATTTATTTTTTTGATATAGTGGAGGTGTATGGGTGATTTTGGCTGTTATTTTGGTTTGGGGTTTTGTTTGAGCTTTTTATTTTTTTGATTGTTTGACAGCAGCTTGTGTTCACTAATTCCTGGCACATGGAATGTGTGAGGGAGGTCCATCCTTTGAGAGAGGCGCAGAGCACAGACGTGTGGAACTGCATGGCCTGCACTAGGTGACATTAGTCTGAACTGAACTCTGGACTGCAGTTAATGTTTGTTTTCTGAGACCTCCAGTAGATCATCCAATTCCAACTTCATCTTCCCACCAGTTTGATGAACAGCACAAAACCTTTTCTCTGTTTTCCCCTCCCTGCCATTCCTGTTGGCAGTGAAGATCAAGGCTGTCCCAGTGCAGCCCTGCTGGTTTGTTCTCCAGTGTCACCTAGGCTTGATTGTGAAAATCCCACCATGCAGGCAGCTGCCTTCCAATTGCCCAATTTACCTCCAAGCAGGATGCAGTTGCACTGACAGGGTGGCAATGGGATGTTCAGCCAGGCTTGTCTCTCCCTCTGGGCACTGAGTGCTCTTCCCTGTGAAGCCACAGAACTGGTAACAGCTCCACAGGCTTTCTGGTGGCATGGAGAGCCCTGGAATTGTGTACCAGTACCTCTCAGAGTTGCTTGGCATCACCTTTCAGCAAGGTAGGGGGACAAGCAGAGCCCAGCCAGGACCCTTCCCACTGCTGCCTGCTTATAGCTGCATTCCAAACTCCTCAGGGAGGTGTGGGCAGGGAGAGCCCTTCCCCTGGACCATCCTGACCAAGCTTCACTTGATTTGCACAGAACTCTTCCCTTTTGTCCCTGAGTGCAGCCCAGGTGCTGCCTGCTCAGGCACACAGAGCACCTGTGCCACTCCCTGCTTCCAGTGACACGTTTTGTATGAGTTTGGTAGCTCCACATCCCCAAGATAATTCTTCATGGAGTCAGGTTTTTGACACTTTTTCTGTATGGGTGCATTAAAAAACGAGTTTGTGTGGCATTCTTTTGTGAGCTGCTCTTGCTAGCGTTATCCATCTGCTTTTGTACTGTAGTGACATAAATCCCAAGCTTGGGCTAGGACTAACAGCAGCGTGAAACAGAGTTTTAGTTCTTGCACATATTGGCTGTAGTACTAAACGTTGGTTACTCCCCCTCCCTCTGATCCTGTGTGTGGGATTTGTTGCCATATTTAGTGAAATTTATCAGGACAGAGGTATAGATATGAAGAAATCTGCTTGAGTTAATTGCTGCTTGGCTTTACTTTTTGACAGAACATTGTTCCTTGGTGGGGCCTGACTGCCAGGGAGGGGCAGGACAGGTCAGGTCAGTGTTCCAGAGAGGCCAGGCCTGGCTGTGCCACTGAATTTCAGTGTCAGGCAGAGATGAGCACTCGGAGGTGGCAGGAGTGAAGTGTCTGAATTAGCCCCTGTACAGGTGAATAGTGGCCTGTCCAGGCAGTGCTGTGCTGTGGGCAGGCTCATAGACTGTTTCAGCAATCTCTGCTAACTTGTCTTCTAAGATTTTTGTACAGTGCTTGCTTCTTTTCTACTTGACCTAGTTTGTGCTTTGCGCATTAACTCAGTTCCTACACTAAAAACCTTCGTTCTCCTGCTTCCTTGATGGCTTTCTAGTGCATTGGGTCACCAATCCAGACTACTATTTTATTTATTTGTGGTCATGCCTTTCATCTAACCTGCTTCAGAGCAAAATCTTATTTGTCATGAATTTAACTCTTCCCTCCAGCACTAGTTTGGGAAGATGTGCAGTTGGCTGTATTGGACCATTCTTCCTCAAGGACTGAGAACGTTCTCATGCTTGTGGAGTAGAGTTTTGGTGCAATATGTCTATAAGGACTTTTTTTTTTTGCCAGGAAAACTAATCCCAAATGCAGTGGCATATCTTGAGACAGCAGAGAATTGATGAGCTTGGTAAGATCAGAGAGGAAAAACAGATCTCTAGTAAAAGCAAGCACAGCTTTCAAGGCACTTAGCAGAGGTATAGAGCATTTTAAGTAACACAGATAAATACCTCCCTGGAGCTTTTGCTTTTTCATCTAAGCACAGATCAGAGAACAAGTAGGAAAATGTGGGGGCAAAAAACAAAAGCTTTAAAGATGCCAATGAACATTTTTCAAGCTGAAGGTTACTTTCAGCAGTGAAAATAGCAGAAGATGTGTAAGGGGAAAGCAATGAAGCCATGTGTAAAATAAGGGAAAAGAATGAGATCAGAGGGCTGCAGAAGAGTTTTGAATTAAGTGACTGCTGACTTGCTTATAAATGATTTATTTTTATTTGTTCTTGAAAAATGTTTCTAATTTGTTTCTGTGCTACACTGTCACACTGGAAGTTGTTCATTAGTATCAGACAAAGGTTTTTCAGACAGTGTATGAGCAAAAAGTGATCTCTTTAATGCCCTTACATTTAGTTTTTAAAGTTCCAACCATGGTAACTCTGCATGAAATTATAATATCAGTGGTATTCCAGCTGGTTTTGAGTTCTATATTAATGGACTAGGTCTTAACCCCAGAATTGCTTTATATGCAATCTCTACTACTGGCACATATTCAGAGCAGAATTTCTGTATAATGAACGATGTGAGGTGTCAGAGCAAAGCTAGGGGAATGCTTGATTTTTTTGGTGAAATGTCACTTAAAGTTGAATGGTTGGGTAGTTCCATACTTGCTCAGAAAATTTGCTTTAATCATAAGCTCATATGCACCTCTGTGTCCTGAACTGCCATCAGTATCCAGTGCAGTCCCAGCTTCAGACAATCTTTGCTGTGTTGTGCCTATTTATTGAATTCAAAGCATAAACAAGGAAGTGTTTAGTTTAAAAATAGCTCATACTTGTCATTTTGATGTCAGGTCATTGCCTTGAACTGCTAGCTGCTACACTGAATTTACACCTCACTGGCAATAGCAGAGATCAGGTGGTGCAGCCTTAACAAACCACCCCATGTACTGAAAGTGTTGATGAGGACAAACTCTGCAGGTCTGGCTGGAACCTCTGTCAGCACTTCATTCAGTGCTAATGTGGTGCAGATTTGGTTTTAGGTAATTAATAAGCTAATAAATCATGGGGTGCTTTTTTGACCCAATGGCACAATTAGGTGCATAAGATGCACTTGCATTATGAAGGCAAAGGAGGGCTCAAGACCAGGTTTGTGAGTCTCTCCCTATTAAAGCTCTACAAGGTCAAGCTCAAAAGATTTTTTTCACCTGTTTTGCAAAAATTTGGAGGGTCACATCATGTGACTTGCACAGCCAAGACTGTTGCCAGGTGTGCTGATAGTAATCTCTGTGTTTTCATTCAGTTTTACTCCTGTAGCCATGTCAATCCATTTACTAAAATTACAATTCACATCAGCTGTTCTCTGCACCATGTCTGTGTAGGTGCTTGCTTCATGCACAGGAATCTTTGTCAAGCCCACTGCTTTGTCATGGAAACTGTTGCCCTAGCAGTTGCTAATCCAGATGAATATGTCAGCAATTGGTTTCTTTAATCACTGCCATTTTTCACAGATTGGAGAACAGAAGGTTCATGTTCAGTAACCAGTACAGGGATGGGGTGAATGACACTACATGGCACTGTAGGCTATTTGCTACTCCCTCAAGGAGACTTTAGGAAAAAGATCCTGCCCATGAAACAGATGAAGTGACACTTTCTTCTGTGCAAGGAGTAATTTTTATTTTTCTCAGATTTGAGATTTCAGTGTTTGTTGTAGCTGCAGACTGTGAACCCTCCATTATCTGTGGCTTGCTGGGGGCTGTGCTGAGCATAATGGCCTTCCTGTGGTAATATTGGATCATTTTGGAGCAAACACCCTTTTAGGCATCAAAAAGGATTCTCAAATAAGTGTGTGGACAAAGAGGAAGGTGAAGGTTTTTCCCACAGGCTGAGATTTCCTTTGACCTGATAGGATTTGGTAAATCATAACCCTCAAGGTATGAAGCGGCAGGCATGAGCTGCTTGTTACTTAGTCCAGTTTCCTGTCACCACAGCCAGGTCCTAATAAAATCACATTTGTGTCATCGTTACCCTGTGCCTTTTTTCAGACATTGTTTTGCTATTCTTGTTTGTTCTTTCCTTTGCAATGTGCAGCAGTTGTCAATTTTTTAAAATCATATTTTCTGGTCTAGAGAAAGACACAATCATTTAGGGGGGTAAAACATGAGTGGACAAAAATTCTCTGAAGAATAGGCATGCATGAGGATGGAATTCTGACCCAAAATTGCCTCTAATTTCCTTGTCTTTTTTCCCTTTATGCTGCATTACGGTGCTCCTTGCCCCAGTGAGCTGCCATTCTGTTTTGTTTTTTTTTTAAGTTTTAAGGTTTAAAGTTATTTTTTTATTTTGATTTATATTTATGGATAAAGGATTTTTTTCTGTGTGTTTTATATGGGTAATTATTTTAATATTAGTAGTTGATAATGTAAGTTCTTTACAATTATATGCATTATTTTTAATGTTTGATGGAATAATAGGTTATGTTTTGTTTTTGTAAATGAAAAATACTTTTTGTGGTAATTCAAGAGAAATAAAATTAAATGTAGATGAAATTTTAGAAGTGCTATATTTAAAAAATTGGTTTTATATATAGGGTGATGTGAAGAAATACTTTTTATTATTGATTTTTTTTTTTTTTTAAATGCTGTGCTGTGTGCCAATGTGTGCATTTTGCTTTTGCAGTGATCACTGATGGAGGCCTGGACAAGACAGCCCTGACGGACGATGTGGGGAGCGAGGAGGATCTGTACGAGGAGTTCCGCAGCTCCAACCACCGCTACGGCCACCCCGGGGGCGGCGGCGAGCAGCTGGCCATCAACGAGGTGTGTGTGCTGCTGCTGGCCCTGCCAGCGTGGGGCAGGGTGCTGCTGCTTCTGGGACACAGCCAGCCTGCTGGTGCTGCTGCTTCTGGGATCAGAGCCAAGCTCCTGGCCCTGGACCCACAGCCAGGCTGCTGGTGCTGCTTCGAGGACACAGCCAGCCTGCTGGTTCTGGTTCTGGGACACAGCCAGCCTGCTGGTGCTGCTGCTTCTGGGATCAGAGCCAAGCTCCTGGCCCTGGAACCACAGCCAGGCTGCTGGTTCTGGTTCTGCTTCTGGAACCACAGCCAGGCTGCTGGTGCTGCTTCTGGAACCACAGCCAAGCTTCTGGCTCTGGAACCACAGCGAGGCTGGTGGTTCTGCTTCTGGAACCACAACCAAGCTGCTGGTGCTGGTTCTGGCTCTGGAACCACAGCCAGGCTGCTGGTGCTGGCTCTGGCTCTGAAACCACAGCCAAGCTGCTTTTGCTGGTGCTGGCTCTGGAACCACAACCAAGCTGCTGGTGCTGGTTCTGGCTCTGGAACCACAGCCAGGCTGCTGGTGCTGCTTCTGCCTAACCACAGCCAGGCTGCTGGTGCTGGTTCTGGCTCTGGAACCACAGCCAAGCTGGTCATGGCACAGCAGATGGGGCTTTAAATGTCATTTACTGTGGGCACCATTTGCAGCCAGGTGACAGCAGGGGCTGGGCTGTCCATCAGGATGCTGTCCCCAAGGTAATCCAGAACCACAGGAACTCTCCTCTCGGGTGTTTTTGATGGAGAAGTTTAAAAGCACTAATGAACTTGTTAAAAACATTAATGAACAAGTTCAGACTTGGAGTGTGTTGTACTGAAGGCATAATGGAAATGTTAAAAAAATCCCTGGCCTACCTGTTTCTTTAGTCATAGGTAAGGAGGGTGCAAAGTTTGATACAGTTTGGCCTTTGCTGTTTCTTCCTGTTCCCCAGTATATTCACTCTGGGGATGTGAAAGTCCTGCCTATTGAAATGAATCACACAGGACTCCAATTTCTTCATGGTGGAAAAAGCCCATTCTTTATTCACATATTCACTCCTTTTTATACAGTGTTACAGACCTTGTGTGTGACTCTAATTGGTTAGTAGCTTTCTTGCTAATTACTTAATTGGTTAGTAAAAGGTATTTTACTTGTCTATCAAATCTCTCTACTCTTAAATACTTCACATGTTTTCTTCACTGGTTCTCATGGGATAGATTTAATGTTTATGTAGGTGCTAGCTGTTTTTCACCTAGGAATAGATTGTGTTAAGGAACTGCTCACACAAGGATTGCTTTCACATGGGAATTTGTAAAGTGCTAGCTTTGCTTAGAAGAAATTACAGGCTAGCTATCAATTAAACAGAGTAGGCCTGATTTTATGAGGCCTTTTTTTAATAATTTTTCTACCTTAATGCAACACCTGTCTTTTTAGTCACTGTTTTTAGCTCTTTTCTTTTATAGTGCTGATCCTGATTAAGCTGACCTCAGCAGGTTAAAAACATACTATTTGGTTTAAGCAATGCCATGAGCACTACACTAACAGATCTAAGATGTTTTGCCTGAAAAAGTACTGGTTTTTATCCTGTGCATTAGAGCTGGCATCCTGCTACACACAGAATGCTTCTTCTGTGAGGTGAACTTGAAAGAGGGGAGCATGTTCACCACATGAGTGATCTCTTGAACTCCTACACCTTTTTCTCTCTTTCCTCTGCTCTGTTACCTACACATGACCTTCCCAAGATGAGAAGCAGGGATGAAAGAAGTGTTATGTTTTCTTGTGCTAAGCTATAACTGAAACTACGTGGCTCTCAGTGTGTGTGTTTGATACACCCACTGATGGTGCTTCTGGGGTCTGAGAAAGCTCCAGAAAGCTGCACAGTGAGGGTAACAGCTTTTCTTCAAAAACAACAACAGCAAATGCTCTTCCAGCAGTTCTCCTGCTCCCACTGCTCAGAATCCCCACCTACAGCCCTGGCTAAGGAAGGGAGTTGCTTCATTTTCTTTTCCTATTGCTTACATCCAGGGGTTATCAAACCATGGTCGGAGCTTTTTAACTTAAACTCAGCGATATTGGGCTGGTGTTACTGGCAAGAAAACATGAGCAGAACAGCAGAAAATCTTGAGTTGTGTTCTTCCATATTTACCTGGTGTGTTTATGAGAGTCCCAGGCACCAGAGGGGTCAGTCCCAAAGCATGCACTGAGTCTGTGGGAGGAGGATTCTGCTTCCCTCCCACTCAGGTGCTTGCATTAAACAGGACATCTTCTGTACCTTCCCTTCCCTTCCCTTCCCTTCCCTTCCCTTCCCTTCCCTTCCCTTCCCCAAGGATTGCTTTCACATGGGAATTTGTAAAGTGCTAGCTTTGCTTAGAAGAAATTACAGGCTAGCTATCAATTAAACAGAGTAGGCCTGATTTTATGAGGCCTTTTTTTAATAATTTTTCTACCTTAATGCAACACCTGTCTTTTTAGTCACTGTTTTTAGCTCTTTTCTTTTATAGTGCTGATCCTGATTAAGCTGACCTCAGCAGGTTAAAAACATACTATTTGGTTTAAGCAATGCCATGAGCACTACACTAACAGATCTAAGATGTTTTGCCTGAAAAAGTACTGGTTTTTATCCTGTGCATTAGAGCTGGCATCCTGCTACACACAGAATGCTTCTTCTGTGAGGTGAACTTGAAAGAGGGGAGCATGTTCACCACATGAGTGATCTCTTGAACTCCTACACCTTTTTCTCTCTTTCCTCTGCTCTGTTACCTACACATGACCTTCCCAAGATGAGAAGCAGGGATGAAAGAAGTGTTATGTTTTCTTGTGCTAAGCTATAACTGAAACTACGTGGCTCTCAGTGTGTGTGTTTGATACACCCACTGATGGTGCTTCTGGGGTCTGAGAAAGCTCCAGAAAGCTGCACAGTGAGGGTAACAGCTTTTCTTCAAAAACAACAACAGCAAATGCTCTTCCAGCAGTTCTCCTGCTCCCACTGCTCAGAATCCCCACCTACAGCCCTGGCTAAGGAAGGGAGTTGCTTCATTTTCTTTTCCTATTGCTTACATCCAGGGGTTATCAAACCATGGTCGGAGCTTTTTAACTTAAACTCAGCGATATTGGGCTGGTGTTACTGGCAAGAAAACATGAGCAGAACAGCAGAAAATCTTGAGTTGTGTTCTTCCTTATTTACCTGGTGTGTTTATGAGAGTCCCAGGCACCAGAGGGGTCAGTCCCAAAGCATGCACTGAGTCTGTGGGAGGAGGATTCTGCTTCCCTCCCACTCAGGTGCTTGCATTAAACAGGACATCTTCTGTACCTTCCCTTCCCTTCCCTTCCCTTCCCTTCCCTTTTAAAATCAGAAAAAAAATAAACTTGCCAGCAGGTCTCACCATCATGCACGTGGTGGTTCTTTCTTTATTCATTATTATTGAGAAAAATTGCTTTTCTTTCATTTCTTAAAAGTTCATTTCATTAGAGTAAAATCCCATCACTTGTAATCAGGAAAGCAAATGGATGTGTCCAAAGCAGGGGTAATTAGTATAATCTATGAAGCATATGTGGGGTTTTGTTGGCCAGTTGACTTGAAAGAAAAAAGATTATTTTTGGCTTGTTCCCTAGAATCTTGCCTGTTCAGGAGCCAACAAAACTGTAAGAACAAACAGTTGAGTTATTTACTTTGTCAACTTGTTCCTAGCAGTAATTAATCCATCACTTGGTTCCAGTGAGCCTCAGCAAAGCTTCCCAGAACAAGAGATTACAGAAAAGTACAAAATCTCTGCAGTGAAACACTGAATCTGTGAGATGGGAATTCCAAAGCAGCAGACATCTTCAGTGCTGGAATTGAAATATCTCAGATAGCTGATAGTTGGACAGGCTTATCCTCATCTTCCCTGCTGGACCAAAAGGTGGCTATTGATTAGACCTGAGTGTTTTCCATAGTGCTAGGAGTGATGTAGGGTGAAGATTTCAGTGTTCACTCATTCAGTCACATTTTGTGAGTAGTCTCAGCTTTCTTTTATTGTATTCCAAGTTGCATTTTATTGGTTGTGAATAAGGAAACTATGGTAACCACATTATTCTTAGCCTTCTTGGAAGAAACAGCTTTCAAATAAACAGAGAAGGCTGAAATACATTTTCAAGGCTGTTGGCAGACCAAGTGTTGCATTAAAGAACAAAACACCCAACCACTGAGTTTTAGTTCATTTTGGATCAAGAGAAAATAATTATGAAATAAAAAAGAAATCTTTCATAAAACTAGAATAATTTATTGGCAAGAACACTAGAGATGAAAGAAAGCTGGGAAGATTGTATAGAGCCCACCTAAGAAGATCAGCATGAGAGTGTGTAAGAGCCAAAAAAAATCAATCAAAAAGTAATAATCAGGGTTTGGGATGAGAAAAGAGGCAGGGGAAGTAATTTTCTTGGGGCATCTGTTTGACATTCTTTCAAATGCTTTCTTGATCAGGAAAAGAGATTTTTGTGTTTAGATTGTACTTGGTAGAGTTTACTTTGTGTTTGCTCCACATAAAGACCCTGTCCTTGTATTTTATTGTGTCCAGGGTATCATTGGGTGAAAATGCAGCAAGAGAAAAATCTGTACTACAAATACATTGTGATTCTGTCCTTCCAGTTCTTTGTAAATGTTATGTATAGCAGAGATCCAGCTTCAAGCTTCATTAAATGTGTTACAGGCAGTGTGAAGCGGAGAACAGGAGGGATTAGGCACATAAAAACCTGGCTCTGGAGTGACCATGGTGATGAAAAGCTGTCTAGTTTTCCCCACTAAGTAATTGGCCTGGGTGAGGAAGCTTGGACATCTTTTGCTTGGTAACATCTGAGGTGTCTGAGGGTTTGTTGTGTCCTGCTGTGGGAAGGGCTCGTGCAGCTCTGTGCTTTGCAAGAAATACAATTGCAGTTTTCAGCACAGCCCTTGCAGCCCTCCATGAACAGCACCGTGCCCATCTTGTGAAAGCAGAGCTCTAAGTCTTCAGAAAATAACAGCAAAACTCCCAATT